TTAATGTTTCTCGCTTCTCTTGAATGTTGTTCTCTTTTACAATTATAGAACTTTCCTTGCGACACTTGCGGTAAGATTTATCATTCGCACAGGAGAATGCGTGTCCACATGCATAGGCATAGAAGCAACAGTTTTGCATGCGAGATTTGCCAAAATCACTTATCGAGTAAAGAAGCTTTGGAAAAACATCACAAGACAGTACATTTACATGATTATATCTGCGATATATGTCACAAGAAACTGAAATCCAAACATATGTTGCGCGCTCATATAAATGTAAGAAAAAAATTGCTGTATATTTTAATTATATTTAAAAAATAAATGTATGTATTACCTATAAAGATATGGAATTTTTAGGAACTTATTTCCAAAGCTTGTATAAATAACTTGTTAATTAAAATATCGAAGAACTCTATGTGATTTTACATAGTACATTAAGTTTAGCTGTTTTGACAAACGCAGAAAAAAAACTAAAAGTTATATTAAAGCGTTTTGTTGTTTACGTTGCAGAGCCACTTAAAGCGCAAATTCAAGTGCCCGAAATGTCCGAATGTGTACAAAAGTAAACAGTCCTTGAATGAGCATCTTCTGTCGAAGCACAAGGGCATCCGTAAATATGAATGCTTTATCTGCAAAAAAACGTACGGTCATCGATCGAACCTCACTCGTCATCAGAAAGTGCACTCTGGGTCTAGGTAATATCTTTAAAACATTGACGATTAAATTAAAATAGATTAAATAAAATGAACAAAGACTAATCTTTATTAATTAAAATTAAAATAAATAATCAAAAAAATAACATTGATATAATTCAAATCCCAAGAAAAATTCCAAAAGTAAGATACTTACATTTGAATTAAGTAAATAAAAATTTTATTTTTATTTTTTAATTACACATATGTATTGTATGTATGTTTATATACATATATATAGTAAAATTTATTATAAACCTATTTTTCCATAAAAATCTCTTAATAAATTCAAGTATTTATTCTGATATGTTATTAATTTTAAAATGTGTTTTACATACGCAAACTTTTGCATGATACTGCATTATATGTATATACATACATATACATATACACATACTATACTGTACGACTATATTAGTAATTTATATTTATTTTTATCTAAAATATTTTTTTATA